CATACACATTAGACATCCTATTCAGTAACATTTTTAGTACCCAGCTGAGTCCAAATATAAACTATAATAGCACATGGAGACTATCTTAAGAGCCATTTCAAATCAATTTAGTTTTATATAGTGTCTCTCAAAGTATCTCAAGGTGATTTGCAGTGAAAAAGAAAATAATGGGCTAGTGATTTAGTGGAGTAAAGCATGGCAGCTGTCAGGTAGGAAGGCAAAAATGCTGCATGGAGATGCAAAACTCTAATTTAAAAGCAGTACAAAGGTAAACATCTCTCTTTGCTCTTCCAGTACAAGAAGCAGCCAGGCAATGAAGCCAGCCTGGGTTCAGTTTAGCTCAACTGTTCCATGAAGCACTGAGGGCTTTTCCATTTACAGACAGAACTGGAACCTAAAAACGAAACATTCCCACTCAACTGCTGAGATTAGGAAAAGCCAGGAAAGAAATATTTGTGACCAATTCATTTTAGCAGTTTTACCATCATATTTCACAACCTCAGAAATTTTAGACTTCCTGTGGGTTGGACTTTTGCCTTACGGGCTTATTAAGTCAAGAAGGCAGCTTTAAGTGCCTTCTTCATGGAAACTGTTAAAGCCTCTCTTGAAGAAGCAAGACTCTAGTCAAGAAACATCGGTCTTGCCAATGTGGCAACCATTGCGTTGCTCCTGTTAAGCAAAGGCAGCCTGCAAATGGAGTACCCTTCAGATCGCAGTACTGAAGTGGCACTGGCCTCGTTGCGTCTCTTTCTCTTAACCGACAAGGCCCTCTCACCAGTGCTTGTCCCTGTGTAGCCTCTGAGGGGTAGCCACCGCACAGTCGGACCTCCTTGGAGACGCAGGTTAACAATTCTTCAGAGCATGTTTCAAGGTCGGGGATTGTCTTCAACTACGGGACACCTCTTCTGTGGGTTTTCACTCTCCTGCTCACCACTCAAGTGAAGCTGCTAAGGAAGCCATGCAAATGCTTGTATTTTGGCATCCTCGGCATGAAGATCACAGGTACTCCTTACATTTCCCTCCCATCAAATAGTTCGGAATGGCCTGTTGGATGTGAATGTTTCAAGAAACTTTAGAGAGAGGGAATACTAATGTCTTCCTTAGGTGAAGACCTGAGTACATAGAATCATAGAACAGCTCAGGTTGGAAGGGACCTTTAAAGATCATCTGGTCCAACCTTTCACAGGAAAGGGAGCCTAGATGAGATTATCTAGCACTCTGTCCAATAGCAGCCTGAAAACCTCCAGCAGTGAGGACTCTACCACATCCCTAGGGAGGTTGTTCCTACATGCTACTTTTTTGAGAGGCCTAAACCACCTGTTTTCCCTTCCAGGTGCCACGACACATTCAGAATTTGTCATCGCTGTTGCCTGTAGGCCAGGGAGATGGTGGAAGCCTGACCCACTCATGCCATCCCTGGCATCAACCACAACAAAAGGCTTCTAGACCTCTTCTCAACTTCCCCAGCGAGCACGTAGGGGCTGTTCAGGATGTCAAATTCAAGGTCGGGGATTGTCTTCAACTACGGGACACCTCTTCTGTGGGTTTTCACTCTCCTGCTCACCACTCAAGTGAAGCTGCTAAGGAAGCCATGCAAATGCTTGTATTTTGGCATCCTCGGCATGAAGATCACAGGTACTCCTTACATTTCCCTCCCATCAAATAGTTCCGAATGGCCTGTTGGATGCGAATGTTTCAAGAAACTTTGGAGAGAGGGAATACTAATGTCTTCCTTAGGTGAAGACCTGAGTACATAGAATCATAGAACAGCTCAGGTTGGAAGGGGACCTTTAAAGATCATCTGGTCCAACCTTTCACAGGAAAGGGAGCCTAGATGAGATTATCTAGCACTCTGTCCAATAGCAGCCTGAAAACCTCCAGCAGTGAGGACTCTACCACATCCCTAGGGAGGTTGTTCCTACATGCTACTTTTTTGAGAGGCCTAAACCACCCATTTTCCCTTCCAGGTGCCACGACACATTCAGAATTTGTCATCGCTGTTGCCTGTAGGCCAGGGAGATGGTGGAAGCCTGACCCACTCATGCCATCCCTGGCATCAACCACAACAAAAGGCTTCTAGACCTCTTCTCAACTTCCCCAGCGAGCACGTAGGGGCTGTTCAGGATGTCAAAGCTGCAAAAAGCCTGAATTGTGATTACTTGAAAAAGTGCGTCCCCGCCTCGACCATCTTGGCAAGTGCTGAGCTTGTTTAGTGGCCTCGGGGCTGGTGCTGAATGTTCTCATAGAGAGGTCTCCATGTGGGAGTTCATGTGGGAGTCTGCTAAATGTGCGGTGTAGCACCATCTTGTAGACAGTGGCTGCGTGAGTCACATCAGGCTGTAAGTACTGGTGTGATGTCTATTCATCTGGGAAAATCTTTTCTTTTCCTTTCTGCTGTGCAAGTAGTATATGTTTTATTAAATAAAGTGCATGTTCCCCATGCAAATGAATGCGCTTTAGAATGATGATATACTGACACATTGTATGTTAAATATGTATGACATTTAAAAATCTAAGCGAGAACTAAAAATCATTTATAAATATTAAAGAGCATAAAGTCTACTTTTTGTTTTCATTTTGCTTCTGATCCTGCACTCGGAGAAAAATACTCCTCACATTGTAAGACTGAATTATCTGTCCAAGAACCAAACCTATAATTTCATTCTATCAGTCAAGCTGTATGTCACACTATTTTTATATCAAGACAATCAGGCTCTTTGAAGCACAGACACGCACCTACTTAAAAGAAGCAATCCTCTGAAAGCAGCAGACTTTGGAACCAGTGGCAATTTGTATCTTTCAACGGACTGGGAACTAAATCGAGAACTGCAGCTCCTAATGAAAAGGTTTCTTTGCTGGCCAGGATGACATTCCGTTGGGACGTTTGGATCCAGATTCACCCCTTTTGACGGCAAGCATCTAACCTGGTTTCGAATCACTGACTTCTAATGGCTCAAAATGTGACCGTTGGAGATTCAGATTTCTCTTTCTTGACAGGAAAGCACAGTAGGCCATCTGAACTCCTAACCTGAGTACCTTAGTTAGGTATTTAAAAAGAAATCAAATTAATCCAGGCCTTGCTCTAGTTTTTTAATTATTTGTTCTGTGGGAGAACTATTAGAAAAATCTAGTATTCAACCCATTGCTATGGCACAGTCAACTTTCTCTAGGAAGTATTTTCTGCTACACAGGGCCTAATCATCCCTCTGGGATGAAGCAGAAGCTTCACATTAAGAAAAAAAAGTGCAGCAAGACCAATGTAGATGTTAATGCACCACCACCAGGGAGGCAGTTTTAGATTACAAGTGAAGGAGCCTATCTTTGTGTTTCCTTCTGCCCAAAGATGTTAAGGTAACTTGCAAATACCAGAAAAGTTTCAGAACAGACTGTAAATATCCTGTGCCCCTGAGAAATCAGGTACATAGGTCTAATATGAAGTGCAGAGCATGGCAGAGAATGGAAACTCCAGCTCTGGAGTCCCACTAATTTCCCTTCCTGTAACATCACCATTTTTTCTTGATGAAGAAGCAACTGCTCTCAGATTGGTCTTTGCTGCACATTCACTTACCTCACTAAACTATTCCACGTGCTTCTGCTGCAGTACGGATGGCAGGAGTGCCATGGGACAGCAGCGAAGGGATTTGGCACCTGGAAACCTGCACCAAGACTGCCTGAAACGAAGCAGTACTACCTTTCTCTCACTTTACTAGCTCTGCTGTCAGCAAAACAGCTTTCTCCATTTCCAGATGGGAACTGGAGCAGTGGGAAATATTTTCCCTCAGTATTTGTCCCTCGTTCCTCTGTTGACAGAAATTTTAAGACAAATGGTCATTTTGGTGGATTTAAAAAGCAGTGGAACTTCATGCCCCTAATGAACGGGCAGCAGGAACTCATACTGGCAGTGCTCAATGGCTGCACATGAAACTAGCCAGGCTCGGTAAATGAAACCAGATCCCAAAATGCACTCTGAGATAACTGAAAGTATGCATTGAAATTTATTGGAGGAAAATGACTGACTGGAAAAAAAGTGGTCTGCTATGCCCTTGCACCTCCAAAACATATTGTACCATTTAAACGCTCTAGAAAGACATCTGCCAAAAATGCAATTAATTCTCCTGAAAGTCAAATGTATTTCTCTTGTAAAACAGTTGAAGCAGCAATTGTACGTCTTGATTACTCTTATGAAAGCAACTTAGGAAAAATCCTAGGATTGTTCTCATGTTTGAAGTTGGATGTTTGTTGTTTACTGGCAGTGACTTTCGTTGCAAAGGCTAAATGCGGTCAGCAAATGATCGCAACACCCACCCCAAAAAAAGAGTTAGTCCCAGTGCAGCCTGTCCAAAATTCCCGCAGCAGATTTGTAGTTCTGTTTGGAGTGCCACCCCGTGGACACAGCCACCACCATGAGCTCCTTTCCTTCCAACAGCCCCAACATGCAACACTCGGGAACCGACAGCGGTGGAAATGAGAATGGGTGATAGCATCTCAAACCACGCTATCCCATGTCAGTCCTGCACATCCCTGGCTACCCTGGGGTAAATGGTGCTGGGGGAGGAGCGGGAATTTTTGTACCAAAATACAGTGTCTGTTACCAAAGACCACTTTTGCTGGTGCTTTCTAGACAACAGTATATGAAATGCCACCACGTCTTTTGAGCTGGATAGGAAATAATTGTGGCATCTGTTGATAACAGCTGAGATGTTCTGCATTACACCACAGAGGTAGAGCTTTGCACACCAAAAAGAGACCAGAGAAGCTCCCTGCTCATCCATAGATGAATTAAGCCCCTGGTAAGCTCAAGTTCATCCTTAGAAGTCAATTTCTGGGTTGGATTATAATTTTTTTCTCTCCAACTGTTTGTGTAAGACTTGCAGGTTTATTCACTGGAGATTGCCACCATAAATTTTAGAAGTCTGGTTTAAAAAGCCCGTAACAACCTTGTTTAGCAAAGGTGTGCCTTGCAGCATTCCTTCAGTAATGTCCCTTTGGCTGCCCCTTACCTCTGGGGTGAGGTATTTCATCACGATTTCCTTTCCTTTCTCTCCCAGCTTTTCATCTGGAGCAATTTCATATTCTGCCTGGAACAGATATAAACAAAAAGGTCAATATTTGCACTCATATTTCACCATTATAACTTGATTTTGGATGTGGCCTTAACGGAACACTGTGTCTGAAAAATCTGAAGGACAAATACCATTTTCTGATGGAAGTAAAACCCGTACACAGAATCTTATTAAAAACTTTCCACTATATTTTGACCAAACCCTAGTGGTGCATTTTCTGAGATGATGTCTCTTAGTTAACACCAATGCAATTTAATTAATTTATATTTTATAGCCTTGCCAAGCCAGCTTTCAGAAAGCATTCAGCGACAAGAGATGGCAACTTTATTTGGTTTTGCTGAAAGGGAAGGTGGACACAGAAGGTAAAATTATTTCTCTGAGTAGCAGAGAAAGTGAGTGTTCATTAATTCTTGCCACAGTGGTATTTCAAGCACCAAGTGAACTCCTTCAGTAGACTTTTTTGGTTGAATGTGTCCTTCTTACTTATTTACGTCTTCCCTGTGGTCTAACAATACTTCTGCAAAGCAGAGAGACTTGCCCATCACTTTTACTGATCCTTGACTCAGTCGCTCCGGAAGGCAGATCTAAGAGCCAATTTATCAGGCAGATTTCTTACGACCAAGATAAAACAAGAGAGATCATTTAGAGGAATACAACACTATAAGCAAAATTCTCTTTGACTTCCCTGGTGCATTAAAAAAGAGAGCAACGCATTCCCCCACACAAAGTCTATCTACATTTTAAAATTCTGACTATTCTATCTATTGAACCATTACTGATTTTGATGAGTTTCAGGACAACGTTTACATAAGAAACAAAAGCAGCATTACTTGTCCACCACCGAGACCTTAATCACTTCAGTTAAAGTTTTGGATCCATGGCAGGCACTCGAAGAAACCCGCGCCGCATGGGACCCCAGTGGCTAAATGACAACGACAAGTGCTTAGAGACATTCCCACTTGGCACTGCTCAGGATACAAAGCTTTAGCCTTAGGAGCAAAATATTTTCCCGAAAAAAAAGACGACAGCCTAACAGCTTTCATGACTGTTTATATTAAAAAAAGGATCCCAGAAAATCCTGCCAAACCAATTAAGTAACCTGGTCCAATACAAGCTGTCTGTGATGATAAATGAGGAGGAAGTCAAAAAAAAAAAAAAGGACAGTAAATCAGACTGAACTGGCAAACACTTGCAAGAACAAATTTCAGAACTATTGCCCATTGGAAGATGTATGTACTGCTCCGAGCTTAATGCAATAAATCCGAAGGCAGGCTGTAATGGATATCCTAGCTAAGCAGACCTAGAAATGACATGAAAACCACAATGTAGTAATAATGATATTTCCCATCTATCTGGCCAGTGCTGATGTAGCTATTGCAGCTTAAGTCTGAAGCTACACATTTATACACATACATAGCAGGTTGCTTGAACAATCTAGAATTATGATCTGATTTGGTTTGAGAAATTACAATGACCACAAATAACAGAGAAACCTGTATTGCTGATGAAAAATACACCAAAAGCTAAAATTCACCAGTGCAGTACTTCTCTTTTAGTGACCATTTTGGGGATGAACTGATTATGTTCTCATAAAACCTAATACAAGGGTTTAAAAAAATCTTTCATCTAATTTCCTGTCCTTTTAGATGGTATCTGAGCATGGGTCATTTCAGCTCTTAAAGCACTCTCGAATGTTTACAGCATCTTAACAGCATTTTTCTCCATGACTCCTTGCTAGGGGATACAGCAATGGCAAGAGTAACAGAAGAACAATTTTTTTACAGATGAAAGTTGCATCTTATTTAGACCTTATGGTTTATGGTTAGGTTCACAGACAAACTAGATGTTTTACATATAAAAGAAAACAGAAATAATGTATTTTAATAAAAGAAAATAATTGTACTTAAATGTAACTGTCTGTGCAGAAGGCTGCAAAGAAAGGCAAACTCCTTGGCATTGCCTCAGCATGGAAGCATCTAGGAGACTTTCCGAGTCCTTCATTCAATGCTATTGACAATTTAACCAATAATGACCATTTCTCTCTACTTCATTTGCTTTTAGACTCTGGATCCTGGTAATATATTGGCTTCCTAGTAAATAAAATCTGATTCAAAGTCATCATCTGCCATTTGAGGTGCACCAGGGACATGTAAAAAAACTTAGTGTCCTTTTTGCCACAGATGCCCTATTACATTTACATCCCATTCGAATTGTACCAGAAGCAAATCAGGATAGACCAAAAGAAGACAGAAGTTTAGGAGGAATTGGATCAGTGTTTTGAAATGCAATTCCTAATGGGATCCAGTGTATGCAGAGCTAAATGCACACACACACACACATACACAGAGTATCTAATTCTATCTCAAGATAGTTGAGAAGGAATAAATGGGAAGTTTAAGTATACTTGCATTTGACATCCTCAGAAAATGTGACACTGTGGTGGTGAAGGTAGGAAGTGACAGACAAGTGAGGATGTGAGAAGGAACCACAAGCTCCAAAGTGTGAACAGTGTTGATTTCACTGTAGCTCAAGTACTAGAAGCCCGTTTCATTTTGTTTCTAAGTTCATTACTATTTCTCTCTTCAGTGCCACTTTCAAGCTATTCTGCAACAGAAGCTGGTACATTTTCAGCCTGTTATTGCAGGAAGAATTACCCATGTAGAGAGACAGAGTGACTTCCCCACGCTCACTCTACCGCATGCCTGGGAAGCATACCAATGTCCTCAACTCTCAATCTTGTGCTTAAATCACAAGATACATCCCCTTCTTCCACAACACTCAAAAGCACAGCTATGGTTTGCAAATCCTTAATTGCTAGAAATAACATCATTACTTAAAATCCATGCGGAACAAAATATTTTCCATTATTCCTTTGATGAATCCAGGCATGTGTTCTCAAGGCTCCTGCTCTGAAGTCTAGCAGCTTCTCCATGCTCTAGTTAGGTCAGACAGGGCCTTATTCATAGCTCATAAACGAGGGGAGGATTTACGATCACCCTGACTGCATGGGACGAGCTGCGGGGAAGGCTCTTTCTGCGGGCAGGCGTGGATCCTTCAGTCCAAATGGTGAGAGGATGTGGGCTGGCCACCGTTTGTTGCTAACTTTTCTTTTGGCTGCTGTTTCGGAGGTAGTAGTTGCTTCGGTGGCTCCGGTTTCCCCAGAAGCAACTCTGGCCGAATGGGGGCACGGAGGTGCGAAGTATCCTTTCCTTTGGAGCAGCTGCCCTCGGGACGGGCTGAGCGAGATCAGATGGGAAAACACATTTCCACTGGGAAAAGGATCAATGTCCAGCCTGTGGCTGGCTGTGGGATGGGGCTGTGGGCTCAGGGATGGCTGAGCAAGAGGTTTGGGGGCTGGAGGGTGCCTGTGAGCAATGGAGAGCATCGCTGGGGCAATGGCACAGGGAGCCAGCAAGGGCTCGCGTCAGCAACCTTAATTCTGACACATCGTTTTAGTTAGTGTTTGATTTTCATCTTAATATTCTTTGAGTTCCTGAAACTGTATGGCTTAAAAATATATGAAAATTGAAAAATGGAGCCAAAGGGATCTCTCTGAAGATCTGGGAGGGCTCTCTCCCATGGCAGGTAGCTGCTGGTTGCCTGTGGGAGTGTGGAATGGTCACAGGAGTTGGTCCCTCATATCCGTCAGGAGATGGAGTTGGGAACAGATGCTTCCACCAGAGCAGCTTTGGTATCTCGGTAGAAGTCTGGAGCAATGGAGTCACCTTCTGAGCATCTGCAGGAGGCTACTAATGTTTCAGTCCCAATTTTACAGCTCTGCTTTCTCAGCTCCCTCCTCTGTTATCCCCAGCATCTCTCTGTGCTCCAACTCCTGCTCCTTCCTCTGGTTCCAGGCTCTGCCCCATTGTTGCTCTGTGCTCCAGTGACAGCCCCTGCACTTGCCTCCGCTGGAGATTTAAAATCTGTGACTGAAAATTGGATGGCAAAACCCAAACAGCTGGGATTCATAATAACTTGCATTTCTAAATGAAAAGTGAACTGGAAGCCACATTTTTCATATTTAAACGCAGGGCAAAAAGAGCCCTTTTGAGTGTTTAAAAACACATTTTGAGTTAATGAGTTTGTTGATATCAACAAACTGGCATTTCTGATGGAAAAAGCCTTGAACAGCTTTAAGACACACATACACAGATGGTTTATATACCATGTAAGGGCCTTTTAACCACATAAAATCTCCCTAACAGCAAGACAGGGTTTTTACAAATGGCATTAAATGGATGCTTGTGCATCCTTTTACCCCAGAGAAGTGTAACGTCTAGTGAAGTGCTCAGTTGAAAAGTCCACCCAAGGAGACCGTGCCTCTCACCCTGTGCCCAGACACCACAAGCAGAAACAAGCTGGAGAGGCAACAGGGCTATTTTCCTCCAGAGGATGTATTTCTGTGTGACTTGAGTGCAAAGAAGTAACATCGTACAGGTTAGAGAGAAAATAGTGTCAGGTTATTTTCTCTTTGACCAGAATTAGCCACGTTCTCCTTCAGTCAATCTAAATCTGGTCCACATTAAAATGTTAAAAGCCCTCCCCTGGAAAAAAAAAAAAAAATTAGCCACATTTTCCTTCCCTTCAGTCAATCTAAATCTGGTCCACATTAAAATGTTAAAAGCCCTCCCCTGGAAAAAAAAAAAAAAAAATAAAAAATGAATGTGAGTAGATGAAGCAGGAAAGGGAGTCCAGAAGCTAAAGTCTTCGTTATAACGGCACACAAAAATCACAGCAGAGGAGAGGGAAATGTCAGGAGCCGGCACCCCAGCGATGTGCTGTTGAGAAGGGGACAGGGGCAAGAGGTTCCCGCTGAACTGCTGCCTTGTGCTGCTGGAGGCATGGGCTGCAGGGAAGGAAACACGTCTTGCTAGCAGATTCCCTGCTCACTGATCTGCCTTTCAGCACAGGAAACGTACCCCCTAACACTTTATTTTAATGGCTGTCTTTCAACAAAGTTGTATGATGTCGCTAAAATATTTGTGAGCGCAGCAAAACGTGCTTTGGGGCTGTGCGTGAATTCTTCGTTAAGGGCTTACAGGGGAGCTGATTTAATCACCAACCATCTCCATTTAATGATAATAGTTTATGTTCGCATAGTTCCTTCATCTGAATGGCTACATAAGGGTTCGGTGAACTGGTCATAAGGGTTTGGTGAACTATTCATGGGAGATCTTTGTGTTCACATGCACACAGATAAGCATGCAATGCATGCAGAGGCACAAGTTGCAGCCATTGGTACTTCGTACTAGGTATTTTATATAGTTAAGTCAGGACCTCTGTCGTGAAATTGTTTGCACAATAGCTGTAAAAAGAAATGGCTCTCTGTCCTTATAGCCTTACCGTACCAGCAAGGAGAAGGGGTTGCTGTCCCTGCTATTTCCCAGATAGCCAGCCACACTGATGGCCGTTTACTGGTCCCACAGCAGCAGTGGGAACCAAACACCCACACTTCCACCAGCGCCGCACTGCAAAGCTCTGTATCTCTTCATTTTTATTGCTTTTATCGTTTAATGTTGGGGCCTACTGCTTACAAACCACATATCTTTGTAGTCTGTTTTACAATTGTGGCTAATTACCCAAACACTGTTCTCAGAAAACATGCAGAAACTTTATGCCTCTGAGCACTTTAAACTCAATTATTGGTTGAAATTGGCCAAGGTATTCACAAGTTTCAGAGGGAACTGACAGATACACACCCACATGGATGCAGAATTTAATGATACAAATCCTGTTTTCTTCAGAAAGCAGCCTAACAACTGTTTAACTGCACAGACAAAAACCCTTAGATGCTGCTATAATTAGAGTTGCAGGAGACTACATCAGACCAGGTTAGTTACTTCACCCAACAGCTGAAATAAATGTCCAGCAAAGAGGGGATTTTCGTTTTTTCTCTTTACGTATTCTGGTCTTCAAGGTCTGGTTGATTTTACCAGTCTTTTTGGAAGCAAAGGTGGGTGAGCGAGCTTGCAAAACTTAGTCTCGCATAAGTATGGGAATGGACGTTGCTGAGTGTCTGACTCAGCTTCTGGTTTCCTCCCAGGAGCCTCGATTGCTGCTTTCCTTGCAGGCAGTTGAGTGCACTGGTTAAAAACCTGTGTTAAAAATTGGGAGGCATCAATTACTGGCTTCTGCCAATGACTCACTGTGTGACCTGGTAAAGTCACTTAGCTCTGTAAAACAGAGGTGGTCCTACCTCTCAATGAGCAAAAAGCTCTGTGAGTCTCTCATGACAAGCTAAATATTTTCCTCTATTATTTTTTTTCTTTTTATTTGATATTACATAAAAGCTAACTTTTGCATCTCATGTTAGAAACGTAAGTCAAAAGAAAATGGCGGTGGAGGCTTTTTCTGCTTGGGGCTTGTTACAGCAGGAGGTCTCTAAAAAGTTTCAGGTTCCTGGTGGTCTCAGAATAGGGCTGTAAAGTCAAATTTCTGGTCTTATTATAGGACTTTTTTGCCTAACGTAGGACTTGGCCTGAATCCCACTACTCACTCAACGCAGTGTGACCCCGCTGGGCGAATTTCAGTAGCAATAATCCAATTTAATGGCTGTGGGTTGTGTTGCTCGACCTTAACATTGCCTAATACAAGGATTTTCATGGGTGGAGAGCAAGCTTCTACAGAATTTGAAATCAATAAACAAAGGAGACTGCTGTTAATTAGCATTAAAAAGAAGGCAGAAAGGGTAAATATTTAGACCTCCACACAGCCAGGTATTTTGTTCATGAAATCCTTGTACCACCAGTCTGAGCCTAACGGAACAGACCGCTGGCCCAGTAAAAGTATGCAGGGTAGCTCCAGTCTGCAAAAGCAACCCGGGGGTGGGTGCAAAGCACATCCTTGCAAAAGGATTTGGGGATATCAGTCCGGGATTGCTCGGGGAGGGAGCTTTAAAACAAAGCCAGTCGCACCACAAGCTTTCACAGGACTGGTGTCGCCTGTGCTGCACTGATGCTGGGAGGACACGGAGTTTCATTGCCTGTCACCGCTCCACAGGGCTTTGGGAACATGAGATGACACAGTGCCCTCAATTCCCGTGGCCAGAGCTGCTGGGAGAGGCTGCGGGCAGCGCCGCAGCCAAGGTTATCACGCGGTGCTCCGGGGATGGTGGCACTGGGGAACACACACATGGAAGGGGGGGAACGGTAATGTTTCCTTTTGCCCAGATGTTCTTACCGCTGTCACCTTAACCGGTACGCCCTGAGCGCCTACTGCCAGGTGTGTGCAGGGCTCACACAATGTGGGCTTGTCCTCTGCAGCCCCTGGGTGCTGCTGGAACCAAAACGTGAGCAGGTTGCAAGGAGGCATGAGAAAAGAACAGAGCCTCGCTGGCCCTCTCCAAACTGAGGACAGCTTTGTTTCTTCTGTCTGAAATTAAAACCACTTGGAAGCAGTCTTTTGTGGCTGTCTCCCAAAGGATCTCTGCAGTTTCCTAGAGGGACGGCCATTGCCTCTCTCCTGGAGTGTCACACCTTACGTGGCATTTCTGCAGGGATGCCTTCCCCCAGACAGGTGCGTGGTGTTTCATCAGTGGCAGACACCTCACTAGACGATGATGGTTTGGGGCAGGAGAAACACATCCAGGGTACCTGAAATGTCCTCCTGCCTTCTGACTTTGAGCACAGCTGCACAGAGTGTTTGTCAGATGTAGCCGTTTCACGTACTTTGATGGCTAAACCTTTCACTAGGGAAAATCACAACCAGTGCTAGGAATATCAGGTAGAAGTTGTGACCAGCTAAAACTGCTTTGAATAGGACTTTATTCAACACTTTCTGTGATGCTGTAGATTTGCTGTAGATACTGCAGTACTAGCATAAACTTTAAGTGACCACATGCCCTCTCCCAGACTCTTACTTTTACAACTTCAGTGCAATCCTCACATCTCCCTATACTTCAGAATAGCTTCATCATGGTACCAACAAAAAAGTTGTATTCCTGTTGGTATGCATCATTTTGCTTTTGACTACCTGTGTTAGCCAGAGAGTGAAGCCCCACTGGACACACACTCAGCAGTGACAAGTTCATCTTCCTCTCTGGTAAAATGTAGCCTTTTGGCTGATCAAAACCCTACCTTTCCGCAGGCTCCCAGCAAGAAAGCCACTGAGAGACTTTTCTACTGAGAATAGCTTCTCCTGCTGGGACTACACACGGCCAAGTGGGAAACAGCGTCAGGCCCCCCCGGGGCGGTGGTGTGTTGCTCAGTGGCTGGGTTAAGTGATAGCTCACTGAGGTGGAAAATGGAGCAGATTTGTTTCTCGGTGACCTCAACCAAGTCCCTTCTATACCCTGTGGCTCTGTTTTCCTATTTGAAAAACCAGGATAACAATCAGGATGCCCTTTGGAAATCACCCTGAAGTCTACCGATAAAAAGGCTTGGTAAGAGATAGATATTAGTATTATCATACTCCTCGTCCTCTCTTGTCAGTCCATTCATCATCTTCCCTTTCGTCCCAGTGCTTCCCAGCACTGCAGGCTTCACTCACATCAAAAGACATTACTCACAGCAGTTCAGCTGCTTGGGCACTGACATGAAGGGAGGCTACACCAGCCCCATGCCGGGGCGCCCGTCCTTATCCCGCTCTGACAGCTCGCGCTCCCCAAGGCCGGTACCAACCCCATGTGTAGCGCTGCCCCTCTGCCACCAATGATGCTGGGATGCTGGGGAGGTCAGCTCTGCCCGCTGCTTGCTCAGGTGCGTTAGACACAAATCACAAAACAGCGATTTCTTGGGGTCAGGGGAGTCTCCTCTGTCAGGAGAGCCCTGCGAAGCATGCCGAAGTATCACAAGAATTGACTTACCACCGAGTCGAGGAACCTAATGCAGCACTCAAGCTCGGGTCGAGTTTCACAGAACTGCCGAAAGAGAAGTCTTCCAAAAATGCTTTTCACATATGCTGCAGTAATCTCTCTCTAGAGGCAATAAGGAGAAGAAGAGAAGCATGAAAATGAGAGGAGCTTTGCCTTTTGGGTTGGTTAGGAGCTTAAAGCATTACAAGTGATTGCAGAATGATGACCCCAAATCAGAGCTGCTGCCTTTTCCCCGCCACCACATTTCAGGTATCCAAATACAAATATAATTAATGGCTTTAAGACTCAAACAAGAGAGGCTCAATTTTATAGAGATGATGTTAGTAAAAGTCCCACAAAAGCCATTCTGCTATTATGAAAAAATAATTTCACATTTTTCTGTGGTGGAAATATATGCACTCTGCAAAGGTACCGCTCAGACTGGTGGTATTTGTGGGAATGTGGGGAGCAAATTACAAGCCCTTGGAATATGAGTCATATATTAAAGGGCAGGAAAAGCTGGAATTTGTGGAGACCTTCCTGGATGCTTCCTAGATATGCACTAAAGTGCCCCTGATCTCTGAAAATGCTCAACCCACTCTCTACTAAACAATTATTGCAAACTAGGTATTTTCAAAGGTTTCAAAATTTCTGCTATTTACTCGCTGAGCATTCACGAACGGATGGAGCATATGGCATCTAGCTGGTTTCAGTTTCACACAGCACTCCTTTACAGAACTGTATTTCCCCTTAAATGCCACGTTTAAATGCCATTCCCCTGCGCTGGTGCATCCAGAACCATCACTCCCCACAAAGCAAAAGGTCCTTTACCCATCACAGGGACTAGCCGCAGCAAAACATGGGAGAAGGGTAGGCGTCATTAACTGGCATTGCACCAGTACAAATGCCGAGGGCTTTGGATATTTTTCTGGCAAGAGCAGCAAATCCCCCAGCCTGTTTGGAGCAGCAGTACTTGCTCAAGACACGTTATTCCTCTAGAAGCACACACATGTCAAACAACATACTGTGTTTCCTTGAGCGTTCCTCTCACCACCCTCCTCGCTGCCATATGGCACTTGCTGTTATTATGGAAACAACCAGCTTCTAAACACATAACATAGCACTGCAAACAGACATAGGAAACCCACACAAGTTGTCAGCGCCTTGGTTACTTCTCTCTCAGGCCTGGAACCGCTCCTGAGATGTCTTTTATTCCCCTTTTGCTTTGGCTCCCTGCACCCTTCAGCTTCATCCACTCCAAGGAGAAAATCTGCAGGCACACGGCTGCGATGGAGCTCGCCTTTGCCATGGAGGCACGCAGCCGAAGGGCTCGCTCATCACAGGTTGTGTCCTGGGGACCATGTTCTGCAAAACCAGGACATCCTACCTGAACGGAGAATGCCATACAAGATGTTGGACTTGCTGACCTGTAGCTGGGTGCCAGATGGGCAGGAGCACCCAAGGTTGCCTCTTGTAAGAGGAAGGAGGGTGCTTGCCCAGTGCTGTGCCTGTGGGCAGGTATGGCTGTGTAAAATCACTGTGTAAATCCTAACTTGACCTCCAGTCTATCCAACTATCAGCCGCAAGCCCGTGGCACTGGTTTCTTTGCATGAGCTGGAGCCTCCAGTGTGGAACATCACGACACAGACACGTATGGCGAGAAAGCCACGGGTTCGCTTGGACGCTGAGCAGCCTCGGGGATGTCCTGGAGAGTGGTACGAGGTTGTGCTGCTTGACCAAGTAGCTTTTTGAGCAAGAAGGTAATTGCTGAAGGGATGTGTAGACACGCATGGTGCTAAGGTAAGCAAAGGAGTTAGGAAAGAGCCTGAGTGGATCAAAACAGCAACTCACAATGTCCCAGAAGCCGGCATGAAGCCAGAGGCCGAGCAGCTCAGGTGAGCTCTCCTGGGAGGTTTGGAAGTTGAATTACATCTGTCTGATGCTGTTTTCTGCTACCCTGACTAATTAACTCTTCTGAGGGTGTGAATACAATATACACCCTGACTATGGGTAGCACACAGCCTGTCTGATGGCAGGACTCAATCCCTCCAGAAGCTGAAACCCATAGCAAGCTTCCTCATGTTAAAAAAGCAGTGTAAAAATGAGACTGTCTGAATTTGTAACAGAATAAAGCACAAAGGAACAAATACATTAATCAGCGAGTTTGCCCTATATTTTGTCTCATACAGTGCTGTTTGATGCACAGTGACAATGCTTGTTGTACAAAATGCAGTTAGTTTATCAAAGTTGTTATGATATGGTGACACGCACTGTAGTAGAGGATGCTTTTCTAAATACAGGGCTGGTGATATCAGCTAAGTAAGCGTGCAAATTGCACATCCAATAACTGTACTTTACTGCATAGCAGGAAAAGAAAACAAGCAGCTAAACACTATTACATATGTGGATAAATGAAACATAAAGAAGACATGAGCACAGACTTCCTCTTACGGTAGAAAACTTGGCCAACACGTGAGAAGGGTGACCCGTTCGTAATGAGGAAAAAGGAAATACCAGAAATAATCTCTGAAAACACAAGAGCCAGAGCAGTTCCCTGGAGCCATCCACTCCTCAGTCATGTTCGTTTAAGTGCTGGATATACCAATACAGACAATAAATACATGATGCAACTGCTTTCATTCCTTGTAGATGACACAAAATATTTTTTTAGGCCCTGATGTTGCCATTGGCCTCACTAAGTCAGCTAAAGGAGTCTGCTCTCAACTAATTCTTGGGATGCATGGGCCCTGGAGTGGACTAAGAAAGAAAAACACCTCTCTCAGCTAAAGCAGAGAAACGGAGTGGATAGTTTTATTATAGCAAAAGAAGCAGAAGTGTTTTAACAGCGTGCTGCACCCCGGAGACCTGGCTGAAGCACCCCGAGCCGTGCTCTGGAGCTGGTGCGGGAGGGGAGGGGATGGAGAGCCAGGCGGGTACCGCAGCCAGGGGCTCCCTTGGGCTGGGGCTAATTGTCGTGTTGCTCTCGGTCCGTCTGCCAGTAAAAATATCCATCCAGTTTCAAAAGTTTAAAAAACAGAAAGAATGATTTCCTGAGGAAATGGAAATGTTAAACACTTGGAAGTGAAACCATATGCTTATGATGATGAAGTGTAACTAAAACAGCTCTGAGAGCGATATCTTTGGTAGTCAGACCCTCCTGCTTCAGTGCAATCCTGTTTAACACCTGCAAAGTCACCCAAAACGGGGCTGAAAAGCTGGGTAGGTCAAAGCCCTAAGAAAGCACTCACTTCTCGCTGATGCCAAACTCTTTATTTAGAAAATATCACTGGCAAATAATGTGCACATGCAAGTGAATTCTTTATCTTCCTAACAGAGTAACGACACAGATTAATATAGAAAAGGCATTATATAAAATGCCATCATAAACATTGATAAGATAAATAAAGATAAATAAAGTTTATTCTAAATTCTCCTGACTCATTTTGCCCTTTAGTCCATAGCTTATGTATTGAAATACTACTTTAAAGAGCACCGAGCACACAGAACATACCAAAATAGTTACGCCTGCGTACAGATAACACCATTGTCATTCAAAGCCTATGGCCAAATTTGTTCCCCGACAGATACTCTGGTAAGGTTCTGAAAAAGATCTACACACATGCCTAGGAAAAATAGTCCTATTAATAAAGTTTCATACTGATCAAGACACACCAGTGATGAAGTGAAAAACACAAAACAAGGTAATGAAGCCAGCTGCTGATGATAAAATCCCTGACTTTCAAGTAAAAGGGGAAAAAAGATCTAATATTTCAGTTAGATAAAAACCTCTTTGTGCCTTGTGAAGATTTTTTTGTCTTAATTTCCCATTTAAATACCTAGCATTTTTTTTCTTGGCTCAAAATAGCACCTTAGCAATTTTGGAGAGAAACTGTGGTCTGCAGAGAGACCCTTCTCTTTCACTTTTGCAATATGCCTGTGGGTTTTGATGGGTTAGTGGCGAGCTACAAAACCAGGTGATGACTCTTGGCTGAAAACCAGTCTTCTCTGATATTGTTTCATTCAGTGTAAACTGCAAGTGTCTAAGTGAGACTGCTATGGAAAGTTATACTTCTCTTTCTGGGCAGAAGCCCTCGTTTTGAAGGGCTACTAATCCAACACTTGCAATCAGCTGGTGAGGCTTCCTCCTGCGGGGGTCTGTGGGAAAGGATGAGCTCAGTTGAAATCTCATTTTTCAAGTCTACAAAAGCCAGGAACATCTTTTTGGCTTTTTGGTCATGACTGGTGTGGCCAATGATTGCCCTTAGGTACTACCTGTTATGTAGCATTTTATTTTCCAACGTACTGGAATCCCAAGAGAAGATATTTCAAAGAATCGCCAAGAAGACATGCACCATGCGGCTGCACGGGAAAATTTGGACTTGGCCTCTGGATCTCTGCTCTCCTTGGCATTAAATCATCCTGGATTAGAACTGAGTAAGATCCAAATGCAATGTAATTCTGCTGCCTAAAAAAAACACCCAAAACCCAAACAAACCAAAAACCCCTCCTAAACACCTGGAAACCCCAAAGTGGATGTAGGAAAAATTAATTGTTCTTTTCCTGCTCATGCTCAACGACCCAAGACAAGAACTCACCTTCCCTTCCCAATTTATTTGTCTGCTTCTCTCCTCCTCTAGCCTGCTTTAGTCCAGAACAACAAAAATCACACCAAACTCATGGAAGAAAGCATTCGAACACGAGGCAACCCTTGGTCTCTACGCTGAAGCTGGACAATAGGGAGCAGCATCGGAGCCAGAATGGGCTAGCAGATAGTTCGTAAGACTGCTGGCACACCAAAAGTAAAACTTTCTTTTCCCAAGGGGCTGAGGCCTATCAAAGCAATTCCTACCAGCCCTGGGATGGATGGAAATTTCAGCTAGAGATGTCCCAAAATCACACGCCTCCCTCCTCATTCAAACTCAGGGAAGATGCTGCTAAAAGAGATCCTAACCACCCCAGCCTAAATCCAAAACCACTTCTGATTTTTTTGCCCATCTCTGCTTTCTACATGTAAGCTCTCTTACAGGGGCACACAATGAAAAGGAGGACAAAAGCAGGGACTAAAAGCAAGATCAAAAAATATGCAGCACAACTGAACTAAACAGACTCTCACAGCCCATTGT